GTATACTTATCAGAATTAAAAATTTACATATTATAAAACTTACCTGTGCTAGAAAGATAACTACTTCATCAAGACTTTTATTGAATTTATTTGGTGTTAAACGAAATACTTCCAAAACAGATTTGTAGTGCTGATATTGCTGAAGAAACTATAAAAACATCCAAAAAGTGTATTGAATATATTAAATGAATATATTTAAAAAAACTTACTTCTTCTTTATAGGATTCTGAATCACGTTTGATTAGATTTTGTAATTGTGGAAGATTTTCTGGTAACTGATTATTATGCCTCACCATTTTTTCATCTAAATTAATAAATAAAGATAAGTTTAATGTTTTCAATGTGCTTGTGATGTTGAATAATAATTTTGTAAATTTATTTATTAAATTTTAATAAAAATACTAAAAAACGAAATCGAATATGCCATATGCCATTTTCTTTTCAGTTTTCTTTTTAGTCTTCATTTTTATCATGCACGTGTTTTGTATAACAGGATTAGTAAATTCTACATATTATTAAAAACTCATTAATATATAAAATAAAATACAATTTATAATAAATAAAATATAAATTTATAATAAAATAAGGAAAAAATAAAGAAATGATGTTTTTATGTTATACTTACTGTTTAAATTTCTTAATACAGCCGTTACTTTATAATACTTCAATGCAATTCTCAAAGGATAGAAAATACTTTACAGTGCTACTTTTCAATTGACTTACAAAATGTACTCACTAAGGCTAACGTTTATATATAAAAATGAATTATAAATACTGAAAGAAAAATGAAAAAATATATCGATAATAACCAATATATTGCTATATCATAAAATATTCATTTGTGCGTTTCACTATACATATTAACTAGTGCAGATTAATCGTAAGCTTTACTAATAAATTTCAATTTTTAATAAATTTGACAATTTTTAAATTGTTTTATTTAATTATTTTTGTAAATATTTTCTTTTTTACATATAATATATAATCATCGTATACGTAGAATTCGAAGGACTTGATGGAAATGTATTCAGTGAAAGGCAATTGCAATTAGATATGATCGGTATAGACACGGAACATCCGATAATGCAAATTAACGGAAAGGTAATTATAAATTAAATATACATATATACAAATAAGAAAATGAAATCAATATTTTATTGGTTATGATATTCTTCTTGTTCGTAATTTTAGTTTTATGAGGGTACATATGAAGATGTTATTGGCACTTACCTATTTTTTATGAAACATGATAAATCTATAGTAGATGATCCTGTTTTTGATATTGTTCCAAATTTTAAATATTTTGGTAAAACTAGGAAATTTCTAAGAATGCAAAGAATTTTTATAAAATCTAGAACAGAAGTTCTAGGTGATTCTGAAAATGATCAGTGCATTCCAAATTTAAATACCCTTAAACAAGCAGGAATACCATTTCAATACCAAAAAAAAGGTATTAAAATAATATCAGCTCAATTTATTTAATATAGCTTTACCCTCAATTCAATTTTATATTGTAATTTAAATTATAAGATTTAAAACTTGTTTTGTAGCTCTTTCATTTTGGAGGACTATGCGAAATAATAGGCTAAGTGCATTACATTCATACTTAGAGAAACAGCGAATCAGGCAACAAAAGAAATCTCAAGGTATAATATTAGAGTCTGAATCTGATGAAGATAATCCATTTGCTATATATAAACAGAAAGAAGAAATTAATGATTTAAACAAGTGTTTTGATTCAAAAAAGGAATTAAGTTACTCTGATAATCAATTTGATTTGAAATCGACACATCCTAAAGAAATTAATGATTTAAATGCCACTGAAGATAGTTATCAAAACCTAAACAAACATAAAGCTCCCTTAGCATCAGAATCTTTAATTTCAAAACATGATGATTGTTGTTTTATTCAACCTGAAAAAGGTTATGAAACTAAATTGTCTCGCAAAAAAAAGCTAAGTATGACTCATAATAAGCAAAGAGTAGAACTTAAAACAATATATACATTACACAAAAAGGATAGGATTTTGTCATTTGATACAGGTGGAAATGAAATATTAAACTTGAAAAACAATTCAATTGAGTGGAATAAATCTAACATTAACGAAGCTTTTAGTTCGCTAGAAAATAATGAAAATAAAAATGGAGAAAAAAGTGACAAATGTGAATTAACTGTAACTGATCAAACAGATTCAAGTAATAATAAAATTATAAAAGAACTTAAACGAGAAGCAAAAATGAAAGAGATTTCACAACAATTGAAAAAAATAGCAAAGGAACATTTACAATCACATACAAAAATAATCTAATGGATATATATAAAATTATCATTTTCATATGGACACATATATAAATTAATTAATACATAATGACAAAGTTAATGATCACTGCTATTTTATTTCTTATTAATTCACGTCACTTTTGTTAACACTATTATATATACCAAGTGTTTTGCATACCATCAAAATATATAATAACATATGTAATTGATAACTGTTAGTTAATTAACTGTCAAATAATATGAACGATATTTATTTATTTTTTAATCTATATTTCTTAATTTAATCTCTTTTTTATTTAATCAAATACTTTATATAGTGATATTTTTATATCAAAATTATTTTTAGAGACATAATGTAAGAATTTTATATTTTGTGTTACTTAGTATTCTAGATAGTTCTAAAAAAATATTTGTTATATCAATAAAATATTAATTTTTATTACTACATCAGCACATCTTATTTAAATTAATTTTTAAATACTGAATTATTTTTAGACATTATAAACTAATTCATAGTATCATATTAATTAATTAATTAATTAATCAAGAAACTAAAAGTTGCATCAAATTAAACTTCGTGATTTTTGACGCTGAAGATGTTTAATACAAAAATCTATGATTGAGTGTTATGTAATCCACTATTTGTAGATATAAAAACACAGTTAATTTTTTTTTACCAATCTAAATCACCAGGAAGTTCATCAGGGTAGTCCCCTGTTAAACAAGCAGTACAATGGCCAATATAACTACTTTCTCGATTATCCATACCGAATCTTACGGCTTTTACGAGTCCATTTACTGAAAGGTACGTTAAACTATCAGCTCCAACATGTCTTGCTAATTTAACATTATCCAATTTATTAGCAATTAATTCTTCTCTTGTTGGTATATTAATTCCCATATAGCAAGGATACTTTAAAGGAGGAGAAGCTATTCTAATATGAACCTAGAAAGATAAAAAAATTTAAATATCATTTGGTTTTTAATAATAGTCTGATTGATTACAATACCCATGACACAAATGACAGTACAAATGTTGAGTTTAAATAAAATTGTAAGACAAAAAAAATGAAAGAAAGAAATACTTCTTTCGCTCCTGCATCGCGAAGTAATTTAATAATAGGTCCAATAGTATTTCCTCTAACAATTGAATCATCTATAAGGATTAGTTTTTTCCCTTTCACATTTTCTGATAAAGCTCCAAATTTTTTTGCCACACCAAGTTGTCTGAGTCGTGTGCTAGGCTGAATGAATGTTCTGCCAACATATCTGTTTTTGCACAATACTTCCGCAAAAGGTATCTGAGACTATAAAATAGTAATATTATTTCAAAGCTGTAAAAAGCTAATGCTTATCCTAATGTAATTGTTAATGTTAACACATCAAATTAAATTCATTGAATGTCAAGCTATTATATAAATTTTATTACTACCCATTTATATCATATAAATGTGACATACATACATGATTAACTTTATGTTATTGTTACTTGCAATTATGAAACCTTAAAGAAAGATTTTGGTTTTGATTAAACATAATATTTTTCTCTAAACATCATTTTTCGAACTGATGGGACAAATTTCTCTAAAGTTAATTAATCTATTTAGATGAATTTTTTTTTGTAAGTTACAGAATAAATTTTTTCATAAACATTAACCTTGTAATATCTTGAGACCTTCCAAATTTATTAATTTTTCAGGGATGTAAAATTGTGGAAATAGTTGGCAACAAATTAATATGTAATTTTAAAGTTTCAAAAAATGATTAAAAAAAATATTTCTTTCTACTGTTGCAGGTTTAGCGGTTTCATGCAATATAAGAATACATATCATTTTTTTATTTGAGATTTATATTCAAGGAATTAGAAATCTCATTGCTAAAAAATATATATATATATTTCGATTAAATAAAAAGTTATAAAGAAAATTACAAAATGACAAAACAAAATGATAAATTGTTTTCTTGTTTAGTTTAGAATAAATCTTAAAGAATAACATTTCTAGTTTTTCAGACTAGAACCTTTCCTTAATAAATCAATATATTTACCTGCCTAGCATAGCCATGTGCTGCTGCAGTCCCAGATTCAGGTACTGAACTAACTATATCTGCTTCTACTGGAGATTCCAAAGCAAGTTCTCGTCCACATTGCATACGAACAGAATATACCATTTGACCTGTTATGTAAAATAAAATATATTATCTATCATATGTATATCACGTATAAGGTGTAAAGAAATTATATGTCACGAGTATGATTGGTTGATTTCACTCCCTCAGTTTAGTAGAAATTATTGTAATGAAGACGCCGCAAAATTGATCTTAATCGAATTTTTTTAGGTAAGAAAATAAATTTTCTTTTCATTACATCTCATTTTACTTGTTACAAAGACCAATTTTGTTAAAGGAATTATGGATCAGAACTCAATCTTTCTCTTGAAAAATTATAATAAAATTTCATTAAATTATAAATTGACTTTATTTACATTTTAAAATAAGATAATATATTATATTACAACGTCGTGTCAGTTGTTATTATTATATTTACTAGTAACTACCAGTAACTAGTATTATTATATTTAATAGTAGCTTTACTACTAATTTTGATTCATTTATATTTCAAAACCAAATAAATGGTATAATTCATAACATTTTTAAGTTTACTAGCGAAAGTATAATGTTTGTAAAAACTATCACTGATGTTTAAAACGATCAGTTTATCATGATTTATAAGCATTATAAGAACATGACTAATATTTCATGTTACTGACAAAATAGCATGAAATTATACCTTTTGCTCGTGAAATATATAAAAATTCGACAAAGAATGATGGAAGTCCACTATTTCGAGAAAAGTTCAAGATCATTGTAATTTTTACTGATTGGGTCGATAGTTTAGTGACCAGTAACTTATAAAACAACTCCTTGTTCGATAGCGGGTTGTCTTTAGGTCGACTGGTATGAAGAGAAGCGAATTATTTATTATGGACGTGCATCCATTGATAATTTTGGGTATGATTGGCAGAAAAGTATGTTTCATACAACAGTAAGAAGAATCATATATAAAGGTCTACGTTCGTAGAAAGTTCATTCTATGCAAGAACTTCGTAGGAATAATTATGCCGTTCGATGAGAATTTCGTCACTAGATTTAATAGAAACTAAAATGAAATCCACGCTTTTTGAAAAATACCCTGTTCACTGATGAAATCAGTTTTCAATGTTGTAACATATCTTACTCTAAAATGTGAATAAAGTCATTAAAATTTAATGAAATTTAACGTAATTTTCGAAGAGAAAGATTGAATTCTGACCCATAATTCCTGCAATAGAGTTGATCTTTGTGACAAGTAAAATGGAATGTAATAAAAAATATTCATTTTTTTTATCTTGAAAACCTGATAAAAATCAATTTACAGCATCTTTCTTATATTAATTTCTACCATATTGTGGATGTAGATTCAATCTATCATACTTGTGATATAATTTCTTTATATACTGCATACTAAAATTTGTTATTTTATTGCATTGTAATATATTACCTTCAAAAATACTGTCACTACGTGCAAAGTAAACATATTCAAAGATACAAAATGCTTGAGGTTTTTTATCTGGTCTGTCAACGATATCTATAGTTTTAATACCCTCCCGTGTTAATTCTACAATTTCTCCAGGAAATACTTCACGCACATATCGTGCCCCAATACTTAAAAAACCACAAGATTCAGATGAAATAACCCAACCTTCAGCTTCATCATCATCATCTGATTCATTTCCTATAATATAAAAAAGCTTTGTTAGTTTGCATTAATTGCTAATGAAATACTTTAGTTCATTTATAATGAAAAGCATTTCATGTAACATATAACATGAAAGTCCAGCACTATCTTGCAAGATATTATTGGCATTCTATTAGAATTGACTGCATACCTAAATTACCAATTGGTACAATTTTTCCAAGACATAAAGGACGATTTCCATAAGGATCTCTAACACCATATATCTTGTCTCTTTGCATAATTACTAATGAATATGATAATGGTGCTAATTGCATAAGATGTTTTATACGTGCTGGCCAATCAGGCCCACTAACTTCGCCTTCTGGAGGATTTAAACAAAGTGCTTGTGTTATTAATTCAGAATCCGAATAAGTTGATAAACCAACTCCACGACCCAATACCTAATAGCAAATTAGGAACTATCAAAAATAAAGATTAAATTAATATTAGAATATTTTAAGTATTTTTGTTAGTAGTATTACCATTTTTCTTAATGATTCCGTATTTACTAATTCTCCATTATGAGCAACTGCTAATGCCCCATGGGCAGTATGTACTACAAATGGTTGACAATTAACTTCTTCACTTGCTGCGCTTGTACTATATCTAGTATGACCAATTCCAAGATTTCCTCTAAGTTTCTTCATGTTTTCATCATTAAAAATGTTATTAATCATTCCCATACCCTTATGGACATGAAAAGATTTTGAACATACACCTTCACTTGTGACAATGCCAGCACTTTCTTGACCTCTGTGTTGTAATGCTACTAAACCTAGATAATATAATGTAATAATATAATAATCATGATATTCTATAAAGACATAAGTTATGGTAAATACATTTAAATGTACCTAAACAAATTACTTGAGCAACATCAATTTGAGATGGCCAGTCACCTGCAGCAATACATCCAAAGACTCCACATTCATGTGTAAGGCCAGTCATTATTTGAGCCTTCATTTTCTTTTTATTGTGCAATATTTTATCTCTTTTACTTTCTTGAGATATTATTTTGGTGTTAGAGTTTGCTTGCATATTGCAAGACATTTTAATTATAATCTAAGAAATATTAATTTATTAGATACTATTAAATTTTTTAACAGTATTAAGGTAAATTAATTTATTTTATTGTGTCAAATTGAAAGTTTAATTTTTAAATATATATAATAAAGAATAAATTTGATTTTAAAATTTAAACAAAATTAAAGCAAAATTATATAATATTACGCAATAATGAAAAAGAAACATTTTTCTTATATTACAAAACATAGCAGACCCCCTTGAGATTTCTTCCGAATTATCAGTAATGACCCTATATAAACTATTGACCCCTAATAAACAGATAGAACTGTTCTTCCACTGGTACTACTATATTTTTCTTTATATTTGCTTAATCAGTATTTCCCAACTGATTTCATCATTGTTTCTTTACTTTTATGCAGAAGTTTCTGCAGAAGAACTCTTATATTAAGATGTGAGTTAATTGTATCATTTGAAATAATATTGTAAAATATCTTAATAATTACATTAAGGAACCATTATTTAGAATTGCAACAATTATGACAGAACAATAAATCTGTGGAAAAAAGAAACAGACTATTCTATTTTTTTTTAAATTTTATTTGTTTATTATTCAAAACTTTTTACTATATATTATTTCTGATATACACACACGCGCGCGCGCGCGCACACACACACACACACACGCACACACGCATTCTTCAAACAACAACTTGTTTAAAGAAGAAAGATAATACATAAATTACAGGTAATCAAGCAATAAGTTTATTCCTTATGTAAATACAATTGTAATAATAATTTTACCATTTATTAAAAATTCAATCAATTAAAGAAGTTAATTTTATAATTGTATTGTGATTGGAATTATTTTATTGAACTTGTTGAATAACCATTTATTGAATAAGCAATTCTAAGCAATTTTATCAGAAATATGAAAACGAAATTACATACACAATTTTTTAAGTTACTTTTGTTACAACTATATTTTATCATTGCATTTCTTTAATAATATCATCAGATTCAATTATTGTACTAGACATTTTTGTTTAAGTATATGAATTTTAAATTATGTATGTACCTACCACGTGCGTCAAGGATTTGAGCGTTCGTGTTGTTCCGCTGTCAGCTCGAAACAGATCCACATGAAATACGTTTCTTGACTGACTTCAGAAACAGGAATGAATGCGTTAGCCAATGGAAATCTTCTTTTGATTGGGTGGGTTAACCTATTTAGCTATTATCTTACATTTAAATTCTTTAACTGTTTGCTTATACAGAATGGTAAAAAAAAAGAAGAAGTTATAATACTCACGGAAAGGAGTAAAAGATGTTTAAGCAACATATGTAGATCATATAATCAATCTCTTTGATATAAAATTAATTTTTGTAACTTACGAATATCCGATATCGTAAGGGAGTTTCTATACAATTCATTAAATATACATATAAATAGTTTTGAAGTACATTAATTCAAGGTTTTCATAATCACCTAACTTGAAACACTTAGACATCCTTTTAACAGTTAGCTAAAATCCTTGGTTTATTTATCATTCATAATGACAAAATTATTGCAATGAATGGAAAACGTATAATGCGAAATATGAGATTCAAAGAGAATATTTGAAGATATCGAACTATGACTCATAAATATGAATTCTGCATTACAACAAGCGAAAAATTATATCGAAGATTTATTATAAGAAGTTTGCTTACATACTATGTTTACATTTGTAGTAACCTTTTATCAATATTAGTAATAATTTTGTAAGTTCATTATATATCTTTTATTTTTCTTAGTGAGTATTATAAACCCTCAAAGTTTTTAATTCTATTTTACTATCCTAGATTTATTAAAATATCGTATATAACTCTTTGAAATTAACTACAATTTATCATCTAATAAATACCTATACATATAATATTAGACTTACCTGAACATTACTGTTTCTTGTTCTATCATTGTATATATTTTTATATTTATTTGTTTTATACTCTTTCAAATATAGCATAAGTTTTCTTTAAGCAAATTATAGAAAAATTCGATATCGTATAATGGCAATAGTATGTTACAATATGATGCTATTTATAAAAACTATTGTTTTTTACAATAGCCTTTATATGATTGCAATCTTATTTGTAATCTTTACTTTTAAAGAAAAATTTTTTATATTAATTTATATGTTTCAAATAAATATTTTACTGCTATTATGTATTTAAATAGTGATCAATTAAGTTTTATCGAAGTTTTTGAGTTACTGACATTTTCCTAATTTTCTTAATCCATATGTTTAACCCACATAATCTCATCGAAAATTTCACTTTGTATGATGTACATAATTCATATATCTACCATTTAACTTGTATAAAGATTATTTATAAATTTACACCAATCAAATTAATCAGAGCTTTGAAAGAGGGGATCGTTAAAGATTTAATCGTATACAGATTGGCAAGTTACACAGTATTCTCAAAGTGTTTGGAAAACAGGAAACATGAACGGTGAGTATCGAATCAGTTGCTTTATAATTATTGTATAATTATTAAGCACATTTTTTTCTATTTCATCTACTTCTTATAAACAATAGATATAAAATGTATAATTTTATTTTCGGAAATGAAGTGTTATAATCAACCTTTAAAATCAAATCTTTGACTATATATTTACTTTAAAACATAAAAAATGCAAAGTAATAAAAAGAATTGATATAATAAAATAAAATTTTACAGAATTTAGAATATGAGAACGTACAAATGCATTTTATTAGAAACTATTACTGTTATTAGACAAATAAATAATGTGTTTCTAAATTGAAAATAATTAAAAATTAAATGAAAACATGACCATATTGCTTTTCTTAATATCATAAGATCCGTACAATATTCATAATATTTTACATACATTTCGAACTGATATATATGTAATTAATTTATATTTATTCATAAAAATATTAATTATATCATACTTAATTATAAAATTTTATTAGGAATATATTTTCAGTTGTATAAATTTTATATTTTTGTATTATAATATTTTATGCGTGATTAATTCCAATCTTTTTACATTTCTAAAAAGAAAAATTTTTTATATTAATTTATATGTTTCAAATAAATATTTTACTGCTATTATGTATTTAAATAGTGATCAATTAAGTTTTATCGAAGTTTTTGAGTTACTGACATTTTCCTAATTTTCTTAATCCATATGTTTAACCCACATAATCTCATCGAAAATTTCACTTTGTATGATGTACATAATTCATATATCTACCATTTAACTTGTATAAAGATTATTTATAAATTTACACCAATCAAATTAATCAGAGCTTTGAAAGAGGGGATCGTTAAAGATTTAATCGTATACAGATTGGCAAGTTACACAGTATTCTCAAAGTGTTTGGAAAACAGGAAACATGAACGGTGAGTATCGAATCAGTTGCTTTATAATTATTGTATAATTATTAAGCACATTTTTTTCTATTTCATCTACTTCTTATAAACAATAGATATAAAATGTATAATTTTATTTTCGGAAATGAAGTGTTATAATCAACCTTTAAAATCAAATCTTTGACTATATATTTACTTTAAAACATAAAAAATGCAAAGTAATAAAAAGAATTGATATAATAAAATAAAATTTTACAGAATTTAGAATATGAGAACGTACAAATGCATTTTATTAGAAACTATTACTGTTATTAGACAAATAAATAATGTGTTTCTAAATTGAAAATAATTAAAAATTAAATGAAAACATGACCATATTGCTTTTCTTAATATCATAAGATCCGTACAATATTCATAATATTTTACATACATTTCGAACTGATATATATGTAATTAATTTATATTTATTCATAAAAATATTAATTATATCATACTTAATTATAAAATTTTCTTAGGAATATATTTTCAGTTGTATAAATTTTATATTTTTGTATTATAATATTTTATGCGTGATTAATTCCAATCTTTTTACATTTCTAAATTTTATAACTTTTTTTATTAATATATCATTGACTAAATTGATTAATATATCATTAAGTCGATAATTCTATAAATGTAATTTATGTAAAAATTAAAATGATATTATTTAATTTAAATACAATGAAGTTCTAATTAATAAATTTCCTTATTAAATACAATAATTTTTCTTATAAACTTTAATTACATTTATTTATAGAATATAAATAATTTTTATTTTCTCTATGATCATTTTTACATGAATAATTTTTATATTTAGAATATGAATATGGGAAACTTATCACTGAAGGAAAAACAAAAAAGGTTTATGAAGTTTTAAATGATCCTACCTTATGTCTCTTACAAAGTAAGGATTGCATTACTGCTGGAGATGGAGAAAAATCTCATGATTTAAAAGGAAAAGCTGCAATTAGTACAGCTACTACAGCTAAAGTCTTTCAATTGTTAAATGAAGCTGGAATAAAAACTGCTTTTGTTAAAGTTATAAATGATACTGCTTTTGTTGCACAAAAATGTCAAATGGTTCCAATAGAGTGGGTTACTAGAAGATTGGCTACTGGCAGTTTTCTAAAGAAACATCAAGGTTTGAAAGTATAATAATTATAATTTTTATAATTAAAAAATTATATGAGTATTTATTTTTGTTATTTCATTTTAATTTTCATTATCAAGGAGTTCCTGAAGGATATAGATTTAATCCACCATTGGGAGAAACATACCTTAAAGATGATGCTAATCATGATCCTCAATGGTCAAAGGAACAAATTATTTCTGCTGGTTTTATACTGAATGATCTTTTAATAGGGAAGGTTGAATTTGACATTATGCAACATACTGCACTTGCTGTATTTGAGATTTTAGAAAAAGCATGGGCAACTAAAGATTGTACTCTTATTGATATGAAAATAGAATTTGGTATAAATGTAAGCCATGAAATTGTGGTAGCAGATATAATTGATAGCGACTCTTGGAGACTTTGGCCATCTGGTGATAAAAGATTGATGAAAGATAAACAGGTATTTGATATAACTACCCCATGAGATATGTTATTATTTTAGTTATATCATCTTTGTTTATAGGTATATAGAAATTTGACTACAGTAACTCAAGATGATTTGGATATCATAAAACGTAATTTTGAATGGGTGGCAGATCAACTTGACTATCTTCTTCTACCAACTAGTGGTCTTGTTGTAATTTTGATGGGATCACAGTCTGATGAAAAACATTGCAAAGAAATAGCAACATATGCAAAGTCTTTAGGTTTAAAGGCCCAACTTCGAGTATGCAGTGCACATAAAAGTACTCAAGAGATATTGCATATTCTTGCAGAATACGAAGGTATTTCTAAAAAGGTAGATACATTGTTAACTTAAAATATAAAGCTATTAATGAGTGCAATAACTGTTTACATTTAAATGCTTCATTTAAGCAAATTTTGTTTTATATTTTGTTTGTTAACAAATTTCACAAGATGTTTTTGTAGAAAAGTATGTTACATATTTTATATTCCTTTGAATATGATTTAATATAATTTAATATTAATCACAACGATATTACTAACAATAATTTATTTACCGCATTAACTATATCAATAATAATATTCAACCTCATACTGAATTATATATCGCTTGGACGTACATTGCGAAGTTGTTTTATCACTAAAAGACAGCGATAAAACTACTGATATTACTAATATGAGGAGTTTATTTGCTACATTATCACGAGTTTTTCTCGTATCCCCTAGGTGGTGCTAATAGCTGTAGCAGGGAGAAGTAATGGATTGGGTCCAGTACTTTCTGGAAATACATCTCTGCCTGTTATTAATTGCCCACCTTTTAAACCAGAGACCATTTCACAAGATTTGTGGTCGTCGATTAACGTTCCATCAGGTAAGTTGTTAATTATAATGTAATTACACTTTTAATTTTCATTACAAAAATATTATTAAATGAGATTAATTCGATTCTTAGGAATTGGATGCACCACAGTTGCCTATCCTGAAAGTGCAGCATTAGCAGCTGCTCAAATACATGCATTACACAATCATATGGTCTGGGCACGTCTAAGAGTAAAACAGTTGATGAATTACATTGCTTTAAAGCAAGTTGATGCTAAATTAAAAGATCTTATTTTATAAATATTTTAAGTCATTTAATATCAATACACAACATACCTTTTAACCTGTAGTTACATTTGTTCTAGTAATTTTTTTCCAACAACATTGTTTATATTGCTATATATGTATAAATTTATGACTGTAAATTGTATTTGAGTTATTATTTAGTGGGTGTTTTAATCTTACATAAATGTTCATATTAGCTCTTTTTGTTTACACTGTATTATTGTTCCTTCTAGTTATTCTTTATTGGTTACAGGTATATAATATTCATTTGTTCCCATTTAAACAAATTTATGAATAAAATAAAAATGTATAGAATTTTGTATATAATCAATTTTTATATATTAGACATTTAATCTGAAATAAAATATAATGATCAATTTATATTAATCATATCAGTATAATTATATTCCATAAATATATTAAATCATATATTTAAGTTAAATCATTACACAATCATTATTACAAATGTTGACTCGCTAAAGTTTCTATTTTAGCAATTTCTTTTGGACAGTTTTCTGTTAAAATTATTGGTCCATTTTCCGTTATTAGAACATCATCTTCAATGCGAACAGCTAAGCCATAAAATTCTGACGGAGCAAATCGATTTTTATGACTAATATAAATCCCTGAAAATGATAAGAAATACAATGACTTTAACTATTATGAATAAATTGATATTTCTCAAAATATATTACCAGGTTCTATAGTAATTATTATCCCAGACTGAAGTTTTAAATTCCTAGAAATGTTTCCTGTATCATGTACATCCATACCCAAGTAGTGGCTCACATGATGTGGACAATAAGTATAAACTGCAGATAATAACTCATTTCTATTCAAATGTTTAGGTATTAAGCTACTTTCTTGTAATCTTTTGCCTAATAAAGAGCACATATCATGATATAATTGATCTAATGATGGTAATTCTCTTAGTTTATGAATTAAAATATTTTGAATATCTAATACTATGTCATATAAGATTTTTTGTTCTTGTGTAAAGGTTCCATTAATTGGCCATGTTCTGGTTACGTCAGATGAATAACCATGATATTCACAACCTAAACAAAATTGTAAGTAACAAAATTATAATTAAGGATAAAATATAATTTTACACTATATAAATTAACAAACCAGCATCCATCAAGACCATATCACCATCTTGAATTAGTTGATTGTTTGAGACATAATGAATGATGTTAGCATTTTTACCAGCAGCAACAACAGGTGGATATGCCAGAAATTCTGCACCATTCATTCTACATTCATAATCCACAGTTGCAAACAAATGATGCTCACTCATTTTAGGTTTTGATATTTCTATAGTTTTAGATATTGCTGTTGAAATAATCTCACAACTTTTTTTCATTAAATTTATTTCAGATTGTGATTTAATTAATCTAATTTTATGCATTATATTTGTTGGAGAAACAAGTATTTGATTATTTTTTATTTTCATTAATTCATGTAACTTCTCATGTAAGCTTGGTTGTGCTATATCAATACTGTCATACCAAATGATACATTTTTTAGTTTCCTTTATGAAAGACACAAAAAATTGTCCAAATTCTGTTATTGGAAGTGCTAAATCAACACCGAACATTTTAGGTGCTATTTCAACTTTAGTTCTAGGACCATCCCAAAGTTCAGAATGTTGATCTTGTTGCGTGAGAAATAAAACAGTTGCAATGTTTTCATTGTTTACTGTAATTATTAAAATACTATCAGGATCTTGACAACCAGTAAAATACAAGAAGTCTGTATTTTGACGAAAAACATATGGAATTTTTCCAGACATGTATACTTTGGATGAAGAAGGAATAATTACAATATGTGATTTGCCTATATTTGTAACACAAGTATGTGAAATAATATTCTCTATCAATTTATCTCGTCGCCTTTTAAATTCACAAAGTTGAATACCAGGCACAACCTCTCCATCTTTCATTAAATGAGGATGTGTTACTGTTGTTGGTTGACTACATGATTGACAAAAAGCACTTGTCGGTTTTTTACTTTGCCGCCGATTTAATAAATTATTTGATATTGTATTTAATGATTGCCGTATGTATGTTCGGTGTCCTAAAATTATAATAAATTCTACTGCATAACATTTTTTATTTGCATTTTTAATTTTATATATTTGAAAATATATAACCTATTATTTATTATTACTTTCATTTATTTCTCACCATATCTTTTAATTTGAAATATAATAGAGTTCTTTGCGATATTAAACATTTTGGTATATCTTTAATTAAAATATTTAAATGTTTTATAATAAAAAATTAAAAACTCTTCTTTAATAAATTTTAAGAATATCGAAACTATAGTATTACATTATATTATTCAGTAGTTAACATAAAGTTGATTCATGTAGTACTCTAGTAAATTGTATACAATACAGACATTTTGAGTCGCTACTGTGACAACTACAATATGAGTAACCGTTTTAAGAAAGTGGCAACGGGTTTCATGTAATACTTATATTGTTCTATGTTATTTATTGCGACTTTATGCTTCTCGCGTAGGTCGTTTTTTTTACGATCAATATATAACCAGGGATTATGGATTTTTTATGAAAAATTAAAGTTCATGATGTGATCAAATTTAGTGATCTCGAATGAACGTTGTATTTAAGATACTGGATAGTGACAGTTTTAATTATATTGTAAATTGTAATTTGTTAGGTAAAAGTGTTTTGTTATCAAAGTATTAACAGAAGATAAGTATTAGTTTTAATAAATATTAACTGTTTTTTTTTAGGAAATTGGAACCCATCAAACGTACTTGATCGGAAAAGTCAAAGATTTTATTTCACGTCTTTAATTAACGTACAGGAGGTAGATTTACTTTTGTGAATCATTCAAAATCCTTTAAAATTTCATTTTATTTAATCGAAATTAGAAACATTTTATTTAAAAATAAAGTGAAAACAGAAGAATGCCAGACAATAGATTTACGCAGTATATATATTATAATGAAAAAAATTAAGTTGAGTCTCAGGATTACATTTCATATAACTTTATGGATTAAAATTGAATAACTTTTTGAAATTTATTATATATACAAAAATTAACATGAGTATTCAATTGGATATCATAATGAGGCCAGAGATTCGATTAGATGCAAAATGGCTTAAAACAGATTTGAAACTTTTACTTTATCGAGATGGTTTAGCAGAACTTTGGAATGAAATGGTACGAGATGGTGAAATTGTGGGTTCTTTTAGCGATGGCTTAGTTAATGCAGCTGGCATAATAGCTAGGAAAGGTATTGAAAGAATTTTAATAAAACTTTTTTCAATTAAAATTAATTAGTTGTATTAATTATTATTTTTATATTTTCAGGTAAAAGTGGCCATTATTATTGCAACATGGGTGTATTAAAATGTTTTTGTTGCAATGGAATTTGTGGTCCACAACAAGGTTGCAATTGTGGACCATGTCAAAAATTAGATGAAGAAGAAGCAGCAAGAACAAGCTCAAATCTAGAAAAAAGTGTAATAGCTGAACATATAATGGATTCCTGGCTTTGGGGTTCGCAACCATGTAATAAATTTTATTTTAATATCAGTCTTTTGTGTTAAATGTTTTATTTAAGGCATATCATTTTTTTTGCTTGTTAAACATCTATTATTTATTTGAACATTTAAAATTTATTTGAAACACGTTTTAGCTACTTGTGATTTAACAACATGTATTAATTTGCTAATCAAGGAGCAAAGAAAATTATGCTATGAAGTTGCAAACAGTACTTTGTCTGCTACACGATTGAGACAACGTTTGGTTGTAGCACGACGATATTTTACGGCTCTGTCTCGTCATAAACCACAGGAAATTAAAGATAATTCATCAGCACCGAAACCTACTACTAAGTTACAAAAAATGTACAATAATCAAACTTAAGATTGAAGTAGTAGAACTGTTTAAGCGTCTTGCATACAATATCTCGAATATCACGAATATATTTAGATTATAAAGGTTATATGCGTGTTTACATGCGCGCTTTGATTATTAATTATTGATTATATCACGATTTCTTAAAAATATTTTTAAAATGTATATGTAGTATCGATATATTAAAAGTAAATATACTTAACATGAATATAATTTTAGCGTAAGACCGAATGAGAAGCCAACATTGGGTTTAGCACGTGTGGGATCTCGTGCAGCATTAAATTTTTCATTTGCATATTTAAGACGAGCGTGGAGATCTGGAGAAGATATAGAATTTTGTAGTGAGCTTTTGTCTGAGTCGCTAGAAGCTTTACAATCGTTACCCGAAGCTACGCTTTTCAATGAAACTAATGTTTCTCAAGTATGGTTAGAAGTAGTGGAACGATCAGCAAAATTTTTGAGACAAGTTGTTACAGGGTATTTTACAATTTATTACTTTATTGATTCTAATATTATACTTTGTTATTTACTTATTGTTATCTTATAATTATACGAAAATTCTTGCTCCGTTTCTAGGGATATAGTTAATGAAAGATCACGGTATCCTATTCCAATAACTGATCAGCATACAGCTCTTTGTTTGTTACTAGAATTAGTAACACAGAGAGCTACATTGTCAAGTTTATTAGATTCAGTTTGTCTGTTACTTCATTTAAGTAGTAAACATAAGCATCAAGATAACCGGGTAATGCCACCTGGGAGCACAGCACCATTGATACCACTGCTGAGACGGTTAAATATGATACCAGCTTCTAAATCAAGGCGAACAGACATGAACTTTACACCAGGTCCTTGTGAAGTTTTACTCAAATATTTGAGACTTCCTGAAGATGATTCCACATCTGTAGATTTACGAAAAGCTGCGGTTATAATAATGTGCAATTTGAGTAGATTAGCTACTCCTCTTCTACCTCCTATTATTACTGATAGATTTCAGAAAAATCAGAATCAAACGTTTCAAGAAGTTTTAGCTTGGGGAAGCGTAAAATTTGGTAATGGATCCTCGCCATTTTATTGTGATGCGATTGCAGAGCTTGGCATTAAACAGCTTTGTTGTACAGAGAGGGCTTTGATGATTCTTTCAATAAACGGGAATGTTTATATGATGTATTACGGTTCAGAAACCCAATATCTTCAAAGAGTGTATGGATTTTCAGAGAAGCCGGTTATAATGATCGCTTCTCATGCAGATGGTAGCCACTATTTGGCTTTAACACAAGATAATTCTGTTTATTCATGGGGGAATGGTGATGATGGACAACTAGGTCATGGAGACAGAGCATGGTATGATGAACCAAAGCTAATCGAGGCATTAGCTGAGGAGAATATTGCATTTATAACGTGCGGAAGTACATATTCAGCAGCTCTTAGTTCGAACGGTGAATTATACACTTGGGGAAGAGGGAGTTACGGAAGATTGGGTCATGGACATATAAACAATGTTCCGATTCCCGTATTAGTGACTGCTCTAAATGGACATATGGTTGTATATGTGGCATGTGGAAGTGGAGATTCTCAAACGTTATGCGTTACAGCGTCGGGTATAGTATTCTCTTGGGGTGATGGTAATTATGGTAAGCTTGGTAGAGGGAGTTGTAATGGATCTAAGACCCCAAAGATAGTTGATAAATTGTTGGATATAAACGTGGCAAAGGTATATTGCGGTGAGCAATTTTCTGCAGCTTTGACTGCATATGGTGAAGTTTATACTTGGGGACAAGGAAAAGCTTATCGATTGGGACATGGAAATGAAGAACACATTAGATATCCAAAAGTGATTGAAACATTGAAAACGAAAAAGGTAAAAGAATTATGCATAGGAAATTTGTATGTATTGGCGTTGACGGAAGATCAGTTGGTATACGGATGGGGTAGAAACGATTATGGTCAAATTGATCCAGCATTAGGCACCGTTGTGCCTGAACCGACTCTTTGTCCGACATTGTCTGGAAAGAACGTGATCGGTTTAGCTTGTGGACCAACACAAAGTTTTGCATTGTGTACATCAGCGTGGTCGATTGCGAATAGGGTAGCTTTTGTCGTAGATATTTGCGAGGAGACCTTTCGATTATTGGATACATTGCTAAATAAGGCATGCGAAGGATTACCAGGCACTCGGCCACCTACCCAGGATCGTGAGTGTTTAGCAGTTGCCACATTAAATTTGATTCGATTACAACTACATACCATGATAACTCACAATATCGACGGCAAATCAGTTGGATTAGCCAATACTCCGTTATTAAACTCTTTGAAGCAGCGATGTGTTATGCTTGCAAGCAACTCCGGTATTCTAGTGACTATTCAAGAAGCAGCCCAAGCTGTTTTACAAACTGGCTGGAGCATTTTATTGCCTACAGCAAATGAACGTGCAAAAACATTATCAAATTTCTTGTCGAAAGCAAATTGTGGTAATTTCGAACAAATACACACTAACAACGGTCAACAATTTATGGCAGATTTGCTAGTTTCTAGCTTAATGGCAGATGGTGGTCTGGAATTAGCGTTAAAGACTGCGGTAAAAGCAGAAATGAGCGAACTCGCTGATGAGAAGGAATTTCTCGTGAACAACAACGCGAATAAATCAACTGATACGAAACAGACAAAAGAATTAAATTCAGAGAAAAATAACACGAGTATATCATTACTGCAATTAGTGAAACAGTTGATTAAGAACGGCACCTATATTACACAATCCAGATTACTGGTTTCTCAGCAGTTACTTCGCAATTATGAGGAGCCGCGAAGAAACGACAATTCTCCAAGTTTAAATCTTCTTCTAAAATTTCAACGATTACTAATTGCTCAAGTATACGAGTGTATCAATGATATTGGAACGAAAAAGTTACGCGATCAGGAAATGCTTGGAGCAGAGTCGCTTCTGAAGAAATATCTCTCGCAGATCTGTGTTCACGTAACCGATATTATGTCATTTGCGGCCGAGTTAGCTAATACCAGTATTAAGCAGTTCGCATTCGTTAGTACTATTCTAAAAAGTGACGTGATTAATGTTTTGTTACCTGAACTTGTCACTTGCCTTATTTTGTTGCAACTCGACTATCCATTATTATTGCTTAATATGAATTGGATGGAGATAATAACACCAATGTTGGACGCGCTCGATCGATTTAACAAATTAGTACCAACAATTGAGAGAAACGAGACAGATGATCTGTCTTGGCCAGGCATTATAGCTCCACAACATAGCAATAAAATGTCAATTTCAGATGAGCCTTCGGCTATTCGTTGGGCTGATTTGGAAAATCACAATCGCGATGGTGGCCTTTGGGTCGTAGTGAATAATAACGTGTACGATGTTCAAGATGTTCGACTTGATGGAAGATCAAACTCACTGGAAGGTCCTCAGCGAACTGTTACTGGTTGGGAAGGATCTGGTGCTGAGATGAACATCATGCGTGGTCAACTACCACGAAATATAATGGACTCTTATTTTGTTGGTCATTATTGTAATTCCGAGCCGGAGAATACTGAGATTACGATTGACGTAATGGATGTATGTTCCTGTTTGCTTGACACAGAAAGAGCTTTAGGTTTTCTTTTAGGTTTACATGCTCATCGAATGCGGCAGAGCTTACCGTTACAAACTGCTGAAGAGGAAGCCGGTCGTTGGTTAAATGCAAATTTTTTTAGAGGTGGATTGCAAGTTTTACAACCGCCGAATCCTTACGAAGAGGAGAAAGGAGAAGCTAGGAGTAATACATCAACGGCCGCAAATTCACCGACTGAACCTCCGCTTCCTATTCGTACTAAAAATGAGTTACAAAAAGAACGACGAGAGGACGATCGAGTTACGGCGTTCATCTATGCCCTTGCCGAGACTCACAGAACGGATGCACAGGTTCATTCTTTTTTAACAATAGTCGACAAATATTCAAAAGCGAACAATCTTTTAGCGCATACTGAGTTTTGCGGTGATGATCCAGTTGAAGAAGTTAGTCGACTTTTAATGGCGGTTATAATAAAGCATCTTGCTTTAGGCTATCAGGCAATAAATCTGATAGATCATCAAGAAACAGGAAATGAAAATGGCCCAAAACTCACGAAGCAATTGGCTGAAGTGATTAGAGCGATTCATCAAACTAAATGGAATTTAATTAGAATTAGGCAACAGCAGAACAGAAGTTACAAGGAGGTATGTGCTCCTGCACAAGAGAAATGTAGATTTCTTTTGCATGAGGTAAGATCCGCGACTAGTTATGAAATCAAAGGATTACAAGATTTGAAATTGTTGTACAATATGGCAAAGTTTCGGAAAACCGTTAAAATGGTGATCAGAGATATTCGAAGAAATAGGGATTCACCGAGTAAACCAGAAGACATATTGAACGCATCGATACAGAATGCGAAATTGAAGAATAAATTCGATGAAGAAACGTCGGTAACGCCAATAGCAACGATAACGGCAACGGCGTCAACGGTAATAACATCAACAGTGATGACGATAGTGACAACAAGCACGACCACGCCCACATCGACGTCAATGACCACGATGTCAATGACCACGACAACGACGATGGCGACGACGACAACAACAATGCCAATGCCGACGTCGACGCCAAAGCAGATGCATATGCCAAAACTAACACGGACGTCAACGACAATGCCGACACCGACATCGACACCGACACCGACACCGACGCTAACGCCGACGCCGACGCCGACGTCGACGTCGACACCGACACCGACACCGACACCGACACCGACACCGACGCCGACGCCGACGCCGACGCCGACGCCGACGCCGACGCAGACGCAAACGCAGACGCAGACGCAGACGCAGACGCAGACGCCGACGCCGACACCGACACCGACACCGACACCGACGCCGACGCCGACGCCG